ACACGTTTATTTTTCTTTCTTTTTTCTTCTACTTCTCTTCAAACACAACCAGTTAAAAAGAAAAACGTCGCTGTTTCTACGATTGAAGGATCGTCGAACTTTGTCTGCACTTAAAAAATTCCAACTGTTTCTTCATTCTTTCAAAGTTCTTTGCTGAATAATTACTCTTTGCGTAACTGTTTAAGGTTTCTTCCCATTCAAATTCTTTTCATTCAAAAATTGTATCACTTTAAAGCACAATCGCGGTTAAGCTTCGTCTAAAGTAAGTATTGAATCGCATGAAACGATCTTCATCCTCCGAATACCTTTTCATTATTTATTCTCCACAATTTCTCGCTATATTTAGAAACGAGCATGAACTCGCAACAATCTCCGCTAGCCAGACGATTCTTAAGAGAGCCAAGCTACGATCAGTCATCTCTGTGACAGGCTTTCGATTATCGTTTCCCCTTCTCCTTTTTCTCTCGTTTTGGTCTCAGGTGTCCTCAACGAAGAGCAAACGTTAGCGAATCGGGTTCGCGTGGATTTCGTCGAAAAAGAGCGTCGAATTCGAGGAATAATTAACGTCAGCCAAAAGGTACGGTGCCATCTTTATTCCTGTCGCGAGACTCTCTATTCTTGACCTCGAGGGTCAATTCGTTTCAACGATAATCTCGCGAAATAATTTATGCTCACCGCGTATAATATAGATAGATTTCTCGATACTTCGATTTTCCACCTTTAGACCCACTGTCCACGAAGCGTAAGCATCGTCTATGAGACATGACGATACGTCTACGCAGGTGTTCGGTCTACGAAGCGTACAGCAAGATACATTTCGCGTCATTATTAAAATGTCAAGCGACATCGAAGACGCTTTCATCTTATATCACTACATTCGTTTGCAGCTGTAACTTACGCCTCGCTACTGAAAATGTTAACGTCTGTGGCCGTGACGAGAACGGATCGCTGCTGTTTCGTGGAAAGGTGCGCATTATTTTACTACGACCGCTGCGTGGAAACGTATTTGCTGTTAACATCGACCCATCTAATACGCGTCTGTGAAAAGACGCTTCGTGCACACTGGGTCTTCGTGTCTAAACGACATTTTTCTATAGATCCTGCGATGATTACGTTGTCTGCAATCCTGTGATGTTTGATAGAGAAACGCGTTTCTCTCGCACGATTGAGAAATTATTTTTAATACACCGAGATTGTGATGATGTTCGTTTAAAATATGTTTAAATCATGGACTATGCTTGTTACTGGGATCAGATAATTTATGAATCTTGACACGTTGGCTGTTGATTCGATTTAAATTATTAATTCATTTTATTATTTCGTCATATCGAGATTGTTTTGTTTTGTCCAAACGTAACTGGATTTCAGATAAGTTTGACAACTTTCACAGCATCAGACAGGAAAAATTATCGTATTTCTGCTTGCTAATTTCTTCGACAATTCTGTCTGTGTATCTTTCACCTGTGTTTTTGAGCCAAGCGTTAATAAACCAGCTACCATATATTGCAACAATATTTGAGATTTTGTTTACGAAAGGGTAAAAACATGTAGGAGGCACAAAGTTCTTCCATTCGAACTCGGAAACAATATGAGGCTTCAGTGTGAAATATCGTAACGACGTGTTAATACGAGCTAACAATAGCGTGTCGTCGCACCTCGAACCTCTACTCACCTGCTATGAAAACTTACTTCTTTGAACTCGGTGTGTTCAGTTTTGTCACAAATTCTATACGTAAAACTCTCTCAATACTGAATACCGTACAACTCTAATCAGCAAGTTTCGTGTGGATACAAAGTAATTGCTCCCGAGAAGAAGAATTCTATGGAAAATCCGTAAGTGAACATTTTTATCTTACATAATTTTTAATAGTATTACTTTTAAGCGAAATTATCGAGAAATTCCATATGCAAATGATTCGAAATTGTTTCAAATTGAACGAAAAAACATTTTTTTTCGATAGAGAACTTTTGATGAAAAGATTTTGTTAAAAAATCTCCTTGAAACATCAGTTTTTGGTTTGATTACTCAAATGATTGAAGATATCAGATTATTAATTATCTAGAAATAGACGATAACGAAGCTATTTATAGCGTTGCATTATTTTCTTCACGATCATTTCCGGTACGTGGAAACGACAAACGTTTGAAGACAGCTCGTCGACGATTTAGAAACGATTCACGTGCTGACTTGCAGTTTTCCGCGTACGACCATCGTAACTACAAACAATTTTTCACTCATCCGCAAACAACTGTATAGAATCGAGGGAACCATTGGCAAACAATAGTTTGGCGTTTCGACAGTTCCGTAATACGAGTTATGATATTTGCGGTACGTGACTTAGCCTTGCTACCGCGCTCATAAAAGTTGCGGTTCCAGTGTATGTTTCGAAGAGAACGTGACGGCATGCGCGATGGGAACGCACGAAATTTTATGAGCTTTCTTTCAGATAAGTTTAAACAACGTGCCAATTCGAACATAGGAAAATTTTAATTACGAAAATATTTTCGTCGTTTTTAATTATCTCGTGGAGATTCCACGTCTTCTTATAATTTTCATGAAACAATTCATGAAAAAAAAAAAAGAGAAAGAAATTATTAAAAAAAGAGAATATTACGTTTCTCGGTGGTATTTTTATCTAAACAGCGATACAATTAGATTTTAGAATTTCAATTTCCTCTGCCATTTTATGAAGCAAGCCTGTAATGAAATTTTAACTTTGTACTCAACGAGGCTAATTAGAGGAGCAGACCCAGTGAAGAATCACCCTTTTAACGGAAATATTGATCATCGAGGAAGAAGCGTAAATTCCACGAGAGTTCGAGACTCTTAACCTCGAGCAACTCGCTTCTCTATCACTCGATTATAGAACTTTTCAATTTCAACCCGCTCGATCCTTTATGCTGTAAAATAAGATCGGAGAGCATTAAATTACGGCAAAGCGTGTTTTACGATGCGCCGCGAATACACGTAAGTGTGAAGATACACATTAAACCGATTTTACAGCTTCTATGGAATGGTTATTCTGAAATTGGTAAAGTTCTAGCACGGTTTAACGAGGAAACCTGGAGAAAATGGAGGGAACGAAGAATCTGGATGAGGGAACATCGATCGTAAAAGTCAGTTCTATGACAGTCATTATCCAATGACTTCATCGTTTTCAAGTAGTATATTTACAACTTCCCATCAAAATTCTATTAGATGCTGGCTTTTAATAGGAAACGAGTTCACGTTAGTTTTTTTTACGATCGTTCAGAGTATAGCGATGAAAATTTAAAGCCTCGTTCTTCGAAACGATCGATCTAGACAAAGAGAGAAACTTCATCGAGAATTTAATTATCGATATCATATATATTAGCGTTGCACATAAAATTAATCATCCTAAATTTTAAGCAACATTGTCCGAATCTGACCTAGACTGTCGATCACCCACATATTTTCCAATGCCAATTAAGAATCGAGAAATCAAATAACTATAAATAACTTTGAACGCGATAAACGCTCTTAACGATACATAATTAATCCCGCGATATAATTCTCGAGGAACTACCACTTCATCGGTAACCAATCTGCGATAAAAAGTTTACAATCCTCGAAAGTCCGCCTTATAAATTAACTCACGCATCGAATTCGTCTCGAACGATAGCGCTCATACGTGTACTTGTGCATCAATGACACGAAGCGGAATCACGAGGATCTCTCATCGCTTGAAACGATCGCGATCCTATCGTCCAACAAATTCGGCCGTGTGCACGAGTTACAGCCGACCATAAAATTCCGGCAATTTAACGGTGGCAAGAATTTATTGGATATTTTTGGTAGCTAATGTGGCCAGTGACCTGGACCCTCTCTCTCTCTTTTACTCTCTCATCGCCACTTCCCTTAAATCTGATCATTCTTTTGATTCCCCGTACACCCTGGCCGAAAGCTTGACTGTCCTAAAACACTCGCGCACGTCTCAGAAACGCGGCAGATACGCGTCTTTACTGATCGAGCATGAAGATAATGGCGCCACGGACGGGTTCATTTATTGGGCGTAAATCTCGTCTCTCCGCCTAGCGGCGCCTCGCCTGGGTCGCCGAGTAATCGCGTCCTATACGGTTATCCCTCTTAACGTATTTCATCGAAATTCCTGGTGTCGAAAGACACCGTTTACACGCCGCGACGTTAAGGAAGCTTTACGACGCAGGCCGCGGCTACCGCCTCGTTACGAAACCGGTGTTAGGAGCAGGAAGAGGAGGAGAGTGGATCGCGAGGAAACCGTACGGCACGAGGTTGGATTTATCGACGACGACCGACCGGCCGACCGCCGAAATACGAGCCGCGGCTGACGCGAAGCCGCGGGTAACGTCGTCTTTCGACTCTCCGTAGCCCAGGTATTCGCAAACGAAGTTACTCGTCACGTGAGAAACCGATATTTTATGGATTATCTGATCGGAACCAGAGCTCGACTTTAATTCGCCGTTGGCTACGCTCGATGGACTGCTGTTGCTGGCCTGGAGAACTGTGTTGGGTGGTTAGGTGGTTATTCGATGGATTTGCGAAGGCCAGGGTGAGGAAGGTGAATAATGAGTTTAGGACAGTGTGTTTTATGGGGGCGGGATTGATTATTGGTATTTGCCAATGTTGTTCTGGGAAAATGAAGAGTTAGAAGGAGGTCGACAGGTAGGATACAGACACTTGCAATTGGTGTTTGTGTAGAATAATCCAAAAACAGGATGAAATAGGGTGTACTATTTGTTAAAAATATAGGAAGATATTAGAAGCTAGGTGATACAGAAAATGATATTATACCGATAGATGCCTCGGTCGAAAATCGATAGATAATCAAAATTCGTTGGTTTATCAGACCCACGTGCGTCATACTACTTGGATCGAAGTAATATTCCAACTTCGTATCTATTTTCATATATTTATCACGATCGGTCTTAACGAATGATACATCCATTTTTGATATTAAAGGCTGCAAGATTGATTAGCAAATCGATTCGTTCTTCTGCAGGTGAGGTATCAGGTGAGAACGTGTCTGCAAGCTCTGGACCTCGTGGCGGCGATCGTGGAGAGGCGACCGATTTAGGCACACACACGGAAAATACCGACGGGGCCACCCTGGCCGCGAACACAGCGGTCGACGCTAGGGGCGGAAGCCCCCAGGGTGCCCACCTTTCCGGTGCGGCCACCCCCAGACCGCCAAGGGGAAGGAGGCGACAGAACCAGAATGGTCTCGACACTACTCAAGTAAGTTTGTACCAAGAGTAACCTAATTTGTAATCTTTAATGTTATCAAAAATATTAATTATCCGCTCGCACTCTTCATTTTATAATTTTTCCATTGATTTCTGCGATATCATCTTTCCAATCCACGTCGATAACGTGTCATTCTGGTTTATGCATCGAATTTTTCACCTGATACTCTTCCCAGAAATTTCTACGTCCCTGCGAGCATTCTCTGCAATCACGCACAGTCCGTCTAAAATTAATTCCAATTCAACCTGCAAAAATTACTTTAAAAGGAGGAAAACGGAAGAAAAATCTTGGAGGAATTTTACACACGATGGTGGTCGCGCTGTTTGCCTTCGAAATATCCAAAAGACTTGCGGCGAGCGCGATCTCGAGTGTTTGATTGCCATCGGGAACAGGCTGAAGGAGACTTCTCGAGATAGAGTTTACCAATCGAAGCGGTAGCGTATACACGTGTACACGAGCGGTCCCGTTCGAGGCAGACCTAGTCGGTGCTCTATGGCAGCGATGTCAAGCAAAGCCGCAGTGTCATTCCGTCGCTGACATCCTCGCGGCCGTTCGACGCTTCTGTAAACGCGGCGCAGAGGCCAAGAAAAGAAAGAGGGAAAAAGGAAAAAGTGTACGCTTCGGTGGCCAAGAAGTATCGATGGTCATCGTTCGGGAAGAATGGTCATCCAATGACACGTGAACATTTCTTCACAGCTACCAGCCGGTCCATGGGAAAGTAATGTCGGTTTGTGAATAGAAAAGTAAATCAATTTATTATATAAATATTACTGTATAAATTGTCTAAAACTAGTATGTAGTAAGCTATGAAAAATTTACGTTAATAATTCTTTTGAAAGCATGATGATTAACGACAGAGTTACTATTTTGAAATTTGTTCCAAAAATATCGTTTCTGAAGTAAAAATATTTTACGTCTATAGCTACAACTGCTGGGAGTGAAGCGTTTTGTGAATATAAAACACTACTCTTATAGAGTTCGACATAACTTTCTCATCAACGCAATACTATCCTGCATCGTTTCAATGAAGATCCTCGCGTAGAAACAACAGTCAACGATAGAATTGACAGGGAATCTTGATAAAGCTGGAATTTAATGGATCCAGGCTGTTGATCCTTTTTAATCGATGTATCCATTAATTAGTACGGTATGCGCGTCAATGCTGTTCTATTTTGCTGATGGAGGAAGTATCTTGGATGTCGAAGATGAGTTCGTTCCGATGAATATGAATAAGAGATCGGGGTTAATTGGACTTGGATCAGATTGATCGATGGATTTTGAAAGGATGGACGACTTTAATCTGATCGGTATATTTTAATTGGTGAACTGTGTAATTAACGTGGATGATGTAATTCTTCTACTCGTTCCATCTAACTACTTTACTTTGAATTTCAGATTGTGATAGACAATTCCGCAAGTTTCTTAAATTCCCATCTTCTTCCTTTCTCTTATAGTTAGTTCCTTTGAAATCCATAAAACACTTAACCTTTGCGTGCCTTTATTGCGTCTTTCAATGGCTCACAAAATCAATAAGAAACACTAGGACGATATCCCGCGCGACCATAAAGAAACACGAGAAGAAGAGGACCAAAACAATTTATCATAAGATCGTAATTTCTCTTCAATTGCACGTATTAAACTCTGCAATTATAGCTACTAAACTCCTACCTCATCGCTCGTAATCTCACACCAATCTCGTCTTCCCAGTCGCTCGCCTAATTACTCCAAAAAAAGAAAAAAAGAAAAAACAGAAAGGAATATTAGAAACCTTCGACCTTGCACGTAGCGGCAAGCACCAAGATCCTACTTTCTCCAAAGCGTGGCCATCCTCCTCGACCTGTATCAATCCCAACAAATCGACCACGGTGGCAAATATTTCTCCATTTATCGTGGAATAGTTCTCTGGCTCGCGTTTGCCCAGAACTCTGTCCCTCTGGTCGCTTTTCTTTCGCAAGAAACTGGCAGAAACGGGTGGACGAGCGATTCAAGCAGACTCGTTCGAAGCTTGTACACGTTGGGATCGTGTCTACGTTGCGAGAACCCCGGCCCCTTGTCAGGAAGAGGTCTCGAGGCGAGAAAGAGATTTACCGTGGTCTGTTGGAACGGCTCCTCGGACTCCTCGGGGACCCTATTCTACGCCAATCGAGTCTCGTTCTTCTTGGTGTCACGTAGCCGTTCTCGCCGCCGAAGAGGAGTCAACTGTTACGCCACGCGTTGCCTTCATTACCATATCTCAGATGCAATCTGTTCCCGGGAATTAATGCGCACTTTGATATTTCCTGCTAGCTCGGATCCTCCCCTGAACTGCCTCTTAGAGCGTTTCAGGATGACGTTTCCCATGTCGAAGGACAGAGACAGAGTGGTGGCTCTTGCTGGTTTCAACAGGATATGGAATTTCAAAAGATTTTTCATTTGGCTCGATCTGAGAGTTGCCTTTTGGTTACAAGGATCTCTATTGTTTTCTCGGTGGAAGGTGGAAGTGCGAAGATCATGGATGATTGATGCGTTTGATATTGGAGAGCGGAGGTACTAGGGATTCTTTTTATTTTTTCTTTTTCTTTATAAGGATACTGCTTTTTCTATATTGACGTGACGAGGTAGCTGTTCGAGTGATCAAGTGTCGTGATTAATTGCATTTTAATTGGGTCTTTTAACAATGTGTTGTATTATAGCGTAAGGATGATTTATTACTTCTAGTTAATTATTTTTAAACATGTGTTGTGTTTAATGATACATTCGCCTGTGATACGATACGTGTAATCTTACGAGGTCATTAATTTGTATCGTGAATTGTGTATAAAATGTGTGCTGTTAAAACGGAAGTATCAATGCGAATGTTAAGAGACACTTACGCGTGTTTTACAAGCTCATCGACTTATATGTAAAATTGCTCGCCAAATGATATCCAATTTAGGGAAGGATGTAAGTGGATGACGATTAAGGAACTCGTGAACAAATTGTCAGAGAAAAGAAATTTGCTTTTGTATGCATATCGAACGAAACGTTCAATGAACTTTGATTTCCAATTGTATTCCAGTGGGGAATCGAATTGGTGGACTTTCAAATTGTGTCTCACCACAGAATGTACATATTCAAGAACGATGTTTGATATTTGTGTTTCAGGTTAAAACAGAACGCCTTACACCAGACAATAATTCTACGTCGTCGAGGAGCGTGACGCCCTCATCCTCCAGCCACCCAGGAACGCCGCCAAATGCTACCCCCTTGGGTGGACCCGAGGGCCCACCACCACCCCATCACCTCAAACACATGGAACAGATGATGGGACGAAATTATAGCGATTTTATGAGAAGCCTCGCTGCCAAGTACAATAACGCCAACCCTAATGAGTGAGTAGCTTGCTGCTTCTCTGAAAGCATCTAGCCTCCATTCCCTGCTATTAGCAGTAATTCAAATCAGCTTAGCTCTATATCTTCTTCCTTTTCTCGTATATTAGTTGAGACAATTTCCTATTTTTTATGATGCAACAAGAAAAAATGTAACGTGAATTGTCATCGTGACTTGTGCAAAGTTGATATAAATTTACAAGGGTCGTTCAGAATGTATTATACTACACGTTCACGTATGGAAGCCATATAAAACGACGGAATGTGTTTATATAAGTCGTATGTAAGTCGTACAACATTTTGTGCTTAAATACTTAACACTGTCGTTGTACCACGCGTTTCAAACGACGATGCGGATGGAAAATCCCGCCGGTGACGCTTTTACGCTTTTCGAACGCTAAAAAATTCATTCGAAAGGAATTCACCACCGAATTACAGCAGTTGACGACGATAGGATGACGAATGAATTATTGGTAAGATTATGGCTGCGGGAAATCAATGGGAAGAGAAGAACTGTACGTGATCGTAAGTATTCAGGCTGTCCATGACTCGTGACAGAGGAACTCAAAAAAGTGTATGCGATTTCATTCCAAATGATATTCATTGCAGTTTTTTTTTCTTCTAAAACTTAAAATTTTGCTTGGTCAACTTATAGCATGATCGATAATGCTTCGCAAAAAACGATGATTTAAGATATTGCGTAAGACGAGGTTATGTGAACTGGCGGCGGAAGCGTATGACGAAGATGTAGAAAAACTTGCATAATGTTACGCTATGTGTTCAAGTAGAGCTGATGGTTGTATGGAAAGTTACGAATCAAAAAATCTTTTTAAAATGTATTATTTTCTGGATGAACCTCGTATTTGGCGGTAAAGAACGAAGAAGCTTCACATGCATCTTGAAATGTGAAAATTTGCTAAAATTTGGAAATATTGGAAAAACGCAAAACATTTGAATAGAGGAGAGTAGTTGATAGAGTCGATAGAGTCTAGCGTCAAGGCTTGTTGCAAGGTTATTCAGTTATTCTAATCGAAGATCATGACGAGAAAAAGATCGAAAAATACTATTTCGGCGGTTAGAAGAACTTCGATCGATCGAGATCGAAGGAAGATTTCTCAGTTTCTTGCAACGAACACACATAAAACGAGCTATTCTCTCAAACGCAATCATCCGGTATGAGCGCAACAGCCGCAGCTAACGCCACCCGGTACTATTTAGAGAGTATGAGACCTTGGGAATCATAACGCTTGCCTTGACATTCTTCATACTGTGTTCCGTGTGCATACGTGGGAACGATGGGAAAGACGTAAGGAGCGATCCTCGACGAGGACACTGCGCAAAGCCGACATAGGAAAGGGAAAATATTGATCGTGTTGTTACGCGCATTGAAATATCGATGCTCGTCCAGAGTGGACAGAGTATCTTGCCGGTGTAGAATATTGTCGCGTCTAACCGGTTGCAGGTTCGCGGACGTGTACATCGACTTTCAACCGCGCAGCTTCCGGCACTAGATTCCCAGCTCTGGCAGAAGGTACTTCTGATCGGCCGAGTAAAGATCCGCGTGACGATGAGATCCTCGCGATGCTTGCGATCTGTGGCATTTCCAGGAGAAAGTGCCTCCTTGGTCGTTCCAAGTCACTGAATAAATATATGCCGCGATGAGTAAAATTATTAATACACGTCAGTTTTTCTTTTGAAATCCCCTGCAGATTTGCGAAAAACGCCACTGTCTATCCAATATCCGTGAAATTGCCATTTCATCTCGTTTCTTAAAACGACTATGTAGAATCTTTATTTCAGAGAAATCGAAAGAATCGAACTTTTTTACTGTAATTGGTTCCGGTTTCTATAGCAATTCTGAAAGCATTGTAGAATCTTGGAGGTAACATCGATTGCAAAACTGTTCTAGAATCGATTCTTGCATCGATTTTACAATAATTTGCAATAATCTTATATTTCGTTCAGATAAACAGAAATGTGGAGGAAAGCTGAGATTTCGTGGGAGAACTTGTTTGTTGGTTGCCTGGATACGGGCATTCGTTCTCTATAATGCAATTTCCAGTAAATGGTACTTTACGCTGAAAAATTTTATTGCATAATGTTGTTCGATGTGTTCAGTGAACTTTATTTTCGAGATTCGCGTTAACTATCGTTGGAATGTAGAATCGTTTAGGATTAATTTATGAGACGTATAGCTAGGTGTTGCATTAATGTGTTACCTTAGGAAATTTTGGTCCATGATATACGCAAGAATAGACACGATGATAGATATTTAATAAGCAAGAAATTCGAGTTCGATTAAAGAGAATTTTATTTATTTGTTCTTACAATACAATACAATTATCCTGGACAATATATCCATACGTATCTGTGCGCGCATAATACTCGTTTTTATTGCGTAGTAAAATCGTAAATCGTTGATACTTAGTTTAGCGGTTAAAACTGTCACAAATTGTCAGCTATAAATTATATCTCATTCAGAGAACGATTCTCTTCTTTTATTAACATTGCAGACATGGGCGATAATAGAATACTAACGATATCTCGCTGATATAACTCGTTGCCTTTAATGGCTCCAGTGATGCAGTGCAGAGATAGCCTAGAGATAGTCGTATAATTATTTCATTACTTCCAAGCTGAAACTTTCGCCATTCTAATTAATATACATATATATATTAATATCCCCTGTTATAATTGCTGTATCAATTTTTGTATATATATTAATATCCATTACTAAATGAATATCAACGAAGAGTATTAATCAAATTCGCAGCTACTTCAGTTCACCAAGGAACGGCTATCCTCCAGGCTTAGATCCAAGGTTCCCAGGATTCAAAACTGGCGCCACACCCTTCGTCGGTTTGATGGCCCCGTTGGGTGCACCGCAACCGTCAACCGTGTCCACCACCTCACCCCTTTCCAATAAGGATCCGAAAGAGCAGAAACAAGACAGTTTGTTTGGCAACCCCGTCTTCCCACCCATGTTAGATATGTCGTCGACGCAAGCGCTTTTGCACATGGTGAGGACTGCAAATGCAGCACAGAATGCAGCAGAATTAGAAACGTACCTCAAAGGTAACTTACGCACGATTTTATTGAAACATACATCTACGTGATATTTTTGTATTATCCGTTATTATGACTATTAGAGTGTCAATTATGGAATTATGAATGTTAAGAAACGAATATTTGTAAAATTAATATTATTAAATAATATTTCGTAGAAATATGTAATTGTATACATGCGATGAGAAATCGGACACAGTTAGAAAATAATATTTTTAATGTAACGTAATACGCAGCTGGCTCGAAACTGTTTATAGACTAGAGTTGATTACCTGCTATTAAAATTCTCGGAAAATGTTATCGTTTTTATATTTTGATTACACGCCGCACGTATTTGAGACTCGAGCGTCGTTCAGTAACCTTCAAGCGTTTAGTTTGTCACCGACCGGCATGAGCGTAACACGTCGTTTCGTTATGAAATCACTGGAATATCCATTTTATTGCGAAAATTAACCGAGAAGACAGCTGTTCAAACAATTTCGTTCTACAAGCGAAGTCTTCTTTTAATTCGTGAGTAGATTTTTAGCTAGCATTGACATTATCTTACTGTTGCTCGACACAAAAGTTAAAAACAGATGTAAATTCTAACTTTACACATCGTTTACTGAAACACTGTACTAAAGTATCAATTATTTACTACGTGAAGCAAGTTATAGGATAACAGAAACAAAAGAGAAGAAAATACAGAATAAAACATTTTCTCTAATGCCAATTTTGAAATGTTAGAAATCAAATATATAACAATATGCAAATATATAACTATATATATAACTCTAATCGTTTTAGATATGAACTGCAAGAGGCTGTTCGAATCAAATTCCCAAAATCTTCAATAGTGAAATTCTATCGAATGAGATATCATGCGACCGGTTTTAATTTATAAATGCAAAATACTCGCACACTGTGTGTTCTATAAAAATGTAATTCATGATTTCAGGAGAGCTACACCTATTTTTTATAATACAACAAACACACACACATACACGATAGAAGTAATATGCGTTTGTAGATTAAAACCGATTATCTTGTCTTAGGGAACTCAAACTTTTTTATTTTAAACGTTCTAAACTATTCGTTTACAAAAGTCTTTCGCGTGTGAATAAACAACAAAGTGTACTCTTAGATAGCGAGTACCGCGTAATGATAAGTGAATTATCTTCAATCAGGTGCGAACAAAAGAGACGCGGGTGTAACGAGTCCTCTGGATCTCTCGAGTCCAGGTGGCTTTGCTCCGCGGAAGAGGCAGAGGACGGAAACCAGGAGATCGGGAAGCGTTTCTCCGAAGCCGAAACCAACCCCTCGACCTACCACACCACCCCCAGTCAGGTGTCCATCCCTATGTGGTCACATGCCCTGCGGTGATGGACAAGCTGTCAATCGATGGACCATCGAGGACGTCGTCAATTACGTATCGTCGATCGATATTTGCGCAGAGTACGCACAGGTAAGTCATTTAAACGTATTTACATTTTCTTAGCTCGTTTTGGGGATTTTTCTATTCTCGAAACTGCACAGTAGAACCGTAAATATGGCAAATGGCGATTGCGACATTTACTACGGCAAATAAACGCGGTGCCTAGTGTTTGCCAAGTTTCATAAGAAGCGCCACGGGCGCTGGGAAAACTTTGCACCGTGATGACAGAGGTGAACCAATCGAGGTTAGGCTTTTTTAGCGCGAAATTGTCAGTGGAGGTTGGGTCAGTCTGTTTTATTCGCGTCAGGAAAGGATGACTTCGGTTGCGCTTTATCTAGATGATCGGTCATGATAATCGTCCGCGATTTAAAGGAAAGTTTGCGGCATATATATTTCGTATTTTTTAGAAGTTATCATTCGATTTGATTTACGATTAGAAGGTAGATATCTGACACGAAATAATGATAATTGGAGCCGTTAGAACGAAAGATATTAATAAAGAAAATTTGATTCATTAGCATTGACGTTTAACGAGCTGCCGAACATGGAAATATATATTATTTGTGGTTTTATTTCTGAAAACAGTTTGCTTTAAATTTAACGTAGTCGTAAAAGTGATCGTAAGACGAAGGGTTAATAACAACGGTTTATTAGTTCATTAGCTATGCACTTAAAAACGAGATTGACACGACAATTCCTGGTATTGCTACTCAAACATCCATCAATTACTCTATATTTTAAACCTTAACCGCCCATTACGACTTGCTCGATACTATCGTACTCGGTAATCATAACGAAAAGAACGGGTCACCAAAGGCTACGCTTTTAATTGCTTCGGCGTCGCTCCGATTTCACCGAGAAATTTCTCTCTATGCTCGCGGTGTCTCGCGAAACACCGAGGAAATACCAAACGACTGGCAGAAAAACGCGTGGGTTGTTGAAATCGCGAAACTCGAGCAAATGACCGACGACAGCGAGAATAGCTGGAACAAATGAACGTGGTAGTTTGGAGAACGTGGCAGTTTTAATTGCTTTTGAAAGTGGTTGGCGTAATGAGGCGTATCGAGATCCGCCGTGCAATATCGTTTGAGCCTCGAGAGCAGCCTCCTCTCTCGACTTCCACGTCGTCACGTCGATGAGGCAACCGGAGGAGGTCTAGGAAGCTCTGAATGACCTAACATCAGTCAATCCGGACAGTCTGGCTGGCATCGACCAAAGAGATGGCTGTTCTCCGGTTAGGAGAGCTCTATAATGACCCCTCGAAGCTAGAATCGACCCTGCACCCCTCTCTGATCTCTCGCGTCCGCACTTTCTCCCCCTTTTTCGCCACGAGAGCTGTAACTCTCTCTCTCTCTCTCTCTCTCTTTCTCTCTCTCTCTCTTTCACTCTCTTCTATCCCCGGGCGAGCATTCCGCTGCGAACGTGAAGTTATTCGTAATCGTTGGCGGTGTTCGCTCGTTTTTGTTGTCTTTTCACGTGGCAGATTCGATGGAACGGGGAAAAGTTGTCTCTTCTGGAAAGCTGCTTCGACACCCTGTTCGAGTATTAGTGCGCTCGTTTGTTTGATCGTTAGCCGACGCTTAGTGAAAATACGAGTGGTTGCAGGATGTCGAGGGGAATAGAATCGAGTGAAAGGGTGAAGTTGAAGTTTGAGAGGACGAGACGTGTATTTGAATTTAGGAGCGCTGCAGGGTTAGACTGTTAGATAACGATGAAGATATATGTATATGCGGATTTTTCTTTGCGAATAGAACGTTTCGCTATTGTAAATTTAGAATTATGAAATTAAGTTCGAGATTTTTATCGTTTCGGTATTATTTGATCCTTTAACGATGCTATTGCTGGGAATTTTGCAAGCAACATTTACACACGCATAATTCTACTTCGCCAGTTCATTGAAAAAGGCAGAAATACACCGTTACTTCGAAGTCCATATTTTACTCACAGAGAGATACGTAGTTTCTTTTATCGTTCCAACATCAATCTTTTCTAATAATTTTTCTTTAATAAGATAATAATGTAATAACTTAATAACTTTAATAACTTGGAAATAGAATAAATTAACATTTGAATTAATATAGCAATAACCGCGGTAATTTATACATCCGTTTACAACGTCAATAGATTTCTAAATTACGCAATCACTCCTAGAATAATCCGATATTCTCTCGAACAAACGACCATGTCCGACAATAAGGAATTAACATCGTATCTATCATAATGCTCTTCGTCTCCTCGAACACTTCTTTCTGTAATTATTTTTGTCTTTGTAATTCTTTTTTTCATTGGCATTTTTAAACCCTGAATGAGAATCTGCCGCGTCCTTTCATTCCTTTTCATTCGACTCTAGTAATCCTTCATGGTGTCACGCAACCGGTTCAAACCACGTTTTTGTGAACCGTGTCTGATTTTAATCGCGTAAGTGCGATATTCATTCAACCGAGTATCCTGCTCGATCATCGTCAAAGACACGATGGATTGTTTTATAATTAGAGCTTAAACCCGACGCTATAATTATGGATCTGATAGCGGTACGGGCAAATTGATTAATCCCGGACAATTAAGCGTTACCGAGCTCGTTAGCATGAGCTGGTATTCTTACTAAGGCTCACCGTGTCACGAGCTTGTTTCTTCCACTTCTCCCGGGCTCTGCTTTCTCCGAACGAAGTTATTAACCTGTCACATTGACCACTCAAAATTGTCAAACGTCAAAAGGATTCTTCGTGATTCGATCGCCGTGAATTCTTTCGTTGCAATTAGTATAAAAGACATTCGTCTCTCTCTTTTTCTTTCCTTTTTTCTCTCTTTGCATTCTGATCTCTATCGAGGAGAAACAAATTGGTTACACGTGTAACATTAGCTTTGTACATATTTTTGTACCAATGAATTCTTGTAGAATTCAAACGAACAAATCTCTCTATTTTTTTTTTTTTTTTTACTTTTACCTATTACAACGATCCATTCCACTGTCTACCAAAAGAACAACCACGCTTCATCTCTTTTCGTCAAAGGAAAAAGAAAACATTGGCTGAAGTAAAAAAAACGTGTTCTCAACTATAACCATCGTTCATCGATTACCGTCTCCACGACGTCTCAACTCGCGTCTATTTTCAATAAAAACACGAAAGTGTTTCTTCATCCGGAGCATCCGAAAAATTCGAAAGCGTCGATTCTTCGAATCCTCGGCGTGTGTTTATCCAGCGCGATGTGGCGCCCCTTCCGATAACACGGTCGATTCCATCGAGAACAAGAAACCTCTCACAGCATCTCCGTATGACGTTCTGAAAACACGGTCGAACGATTCGGCCCGATTTCGAGGCGTAACGTGGTTCCTCGAGGGCTGCCAGTCCCGATTATATCCACGAGTATCAGGCCTCGTTTGCCGGTCCTCGAAACGTCAGCCTGTCAGGGCCGTAAATTTTTGCGCGGGCACCCATCTAGACATGCATATTCATGAACACTGGATTCAAAAGGGGAAGACATCGAGTATTTCGATCAACCATCCCAACCGATTCGAGAATGACGAGGGATCAAATACGAATGTATGTAAAGTATACGCTTCGATCAAGACCTTCTCTTTCTACGTTCTTTGATTTCGTTCGCAGCGAATGAGTCGCGAATTTCTGAGGGTTTTCGGTGGCTATTTCTTCTTCTGTGCGTAGATGTTGATCGAAATCATTGCAGATCCTCCGTTTCTTTGAATAATTAGCGCAATGAATTACTTTATGTAATTGTATTTTCACTTCTCTAATATTAAATCCTCTAGAAGATTTGTAGAGTTTTAAATATAAAATATAATATCCAGAGGCTTTCTAAACTAGTGCTATTATTCAATATGAAATTGCCGATACCGTTGCCACAAAACCATTTCCACGCGAATCTCGAAACGAGTAACCGAGTCATGTTGCTCTATAAACTTGCCAGATATTACTCAGCGGTAGAACCTAATATGTACACATCAAGCTCGACGAGGAAACAATTTTTAACCCGGAACGTTAGCAATATCTAAATAAATACAAGTTTCCCACAAAATTTAGAACGATATACCCTGTAAGGTCCATAAATCATCGTACACATCAAGAAAGTACACGCAGAATTCTGCTGGGATCTACAAGGCGAGCAACGAGGGAACACAAAACCTGTGCAATAATCGGCGCGGATATCGAACCGAGCAATTTATCACATCATAAATCCGCTCGAAAAAAGCATGATAGATCGCGTACAGCTTGTGTTCGCGTACGGTTTCGTTGAAACTGCCTCGAAAAACGTTGGCAAAAGTTCACTTGTGATCGACGACGGAGGCGGGACCAGGTTCTCGTGACGAATAGTAGATAGTGGAAGCACGAACGTACGATTTACAAGATTCCCCCAGTTCGTAAATAGCGAGCCGCGTCGCGGCATCTCGAGATTATCTTATAAAGGATACCGCGAGCGGGTCTGATCAACGGTGAGAGTAGATCGTTCGGTAGAGATCCCCGGTTGGAATTATAGCGTCGATCCTTATCTAGATCTGGAATAGTGGCGCGACCACGTATATACGCTCACTTTCGTTCGAACGAGAACGAGAAACGCCAAAGCGAACGCGGCGAGAAACTGAATCGTCGGGAAATGTAAATAATTGCCACGAGGACTGCGTACCTAATTATCGCGGCGCGTTTGGCACTCGCGATTTATGATCGCTCGAATAGGTATACGTTAAGAGAAGAGCTTTTTAATTGCCTGTTAATGATACCTGCTTCGAGATTTTGCACGTTGTTTCGCCTTCAAATCGATCGTTCTTTTGTCTAATAGATATTTTTCGATTTTGACAGCTTCTTTTTGTACCAGAAATACCAGGAACGGTGACAGAGTTTTGAAATAATGTAGTTTAAAGGTTGATTAACGGGGGAATTTTTTCAGGAAAAAGGGCTAACTTACAAAAATCTTGATCCGAGGCAAATCGCTTAAACGGTTTCTCGCAGAGAATCTTCACACTGCGCGCTATACTTCGCCAAATTAGAAGCAGTAACCGCGAATAAAGGATGATTACC